GAAAGAAAGGTGGGTATATGGCCACCCCGAGAGGATGGGACATGGCCAAGGAGAATGAGCAGGCCCCAGGCAGAACCGGGCAGAGTAGACAGGCCTCATCCAACTCCGATGTCAGCAGGGAGGCTGCAGTGACCACTGCCCCTGGACATGGGCTGGAAGTGGAGGGGCCAGTCCTGGAGCAGACCTTGGCCTCCAGGCAGAATCCCATATTGGAGCCCCTAAGCCAGCCACTCCAGTGTTCTGTGTTCTCCCCACAGATCCAAGTGGAACCCTAAATGTCTCCAGCCCCTCCCGACAGGCCTGGCCCCCAGCCATAATTCCTGGGCTCCTGCCTCCGAGTACGGCTCACTGCCGTGAGAAACCCTGCTCTGCTTCACAGGGGCACAGTGACAGCTGGCCACAGCAGAGCCTGAACTGGGCTGTGGGAGGAGCTTTGGGACGGCTCCCACTCCTAACGCTGCAGCTCTCAGGGTCTTGGCATCGCCCTCCCTCACAATACAGTCCCTGAGTTTCCCGGAAGCACAGATGAGTCATGAGAGCACTTTGGTGGAAATGAGACACATGTGAGACAGGTGGTATCGCTCCAGTGAGCTCCTAGTAAACAGATGCTGGGCGAGTCCCACCTCTGCACTGGGGACACCTTGCAGGTCCTCCATGCAGGGCCTCGATACAGGACAGGGCCTGGCACTCCTCCCTTGGGAAACCCACCTCTTCCTGGGAAGCTGGAGGTGGACCTGGAATTTCCCAGGGGAAGAGGAAGCAGGCTGGTGCTGCCAGCACTCAAGGGTCAGGACGGGTCCCCTGGGGGTACCGCTCTGGGGCTGTGTTCAAGGCAGGCCCTGCCTTGTCTCCAGGAGGAAGTGAGCTAGAAGGGGAGTGGGTGGGTGCAACTGCAAGGGCAGGCAGGGAGTGAGAGGCTCCTGGTGCCAACCAGGCTGAGCTCACCCACCCTGGGCCTTGCATCAGCTGAGGGGCTGGGTCAGGCCCTGGGAATTAGGCGGGAGGCTCCCAGGAGCCTCTTGTTCTCAGGGAGAGGATGGCAGAGAGGAAACCTGGGTCACTCAGCCACTCAACTCTCAGCAAACCAGGCAGCAGCCAGCCTGTGCAAACAAGGGCAGGCCCTGCCAGGGCTCTTTGCAGGAACCCTAAAGCTGTCTCCCAGGTAAACCTAGGAACTTTGGGCTGGTTCTGCTCCAGCCCATGCCATCACTTTAAAAATGACCCACACCTATAATCCTAGCTCCCAGGATTTTGCTTTTGTTTTTGAGACATGGTCTCCCTATGTAGTTCAGAGTGGCCTTGAACTCACTCTGTAGCCCATGCTGGCCTGGGACTCCTGACTTAGCCACCCAAGTGCTGGGATTACAGGTGTGTGTCACCATACTGGGCCAAAAGTACTTTTAATTTGACCTCAGTGTCCCCATAAATAGTCGCTGCACCACTGGTGCATGAAAGGGATTCTGGGAAGACAGTGCGTGTGCCAGGCCCTATCCTGGAGGAGCGCTGTTTCTCATGTCCTCTGACTTGAGGGTCCTTACAGACTAGAAGTGAAGGACGAGAGGTCTCCTCCAGGCAGAGTGGAGAACCGGATGCTAGCATAGTGTCTGGAACATAGTAAGTGCTTGGTACACATTTGTAAATGAGCAACTGGATGTTGGTATCATTTGTGTAGAGCTTGAGCCAACCAGACAAGTCTAAATTCTGGTTCTACCTCTCACTGCTCCAGGCCTAAGACAAACCTTCTGGCCTCCTGGAACTTCCAGGACACAAATGCCTGAACTAGACAGGAATCTTCTTTACAAAGATCCTTAGTTTAAACCCAAAACGAAATCTAGCTCAAACAGCTGGGAGGGGCACTAACAAAAATCAGACCTTGAAGCACAACCCAACATCTGTGAGGCTCTTCCTCCTTGTCTCTGCCTGATTTCTGTTATTATTTTACTTTATTTTTTTCTTAAAGACCGGGTCTTGTTATGTAGTCCAGGGTGGCCTTGAACTTACTATGTAGACCAGGCTGACCTCAAACTCATGGAGATCCTCCTGCCTCAGCCTCCCAAGTGCTGAGATTACAGGTTTTCACTACCACACCCCACTCCCTGCCTGACTTCTACAGACAGTTTATGGCCACCTGGCAGGGTAAGTGGCCATTTGCTGCCCAAACTCGGGTTTAGAAGGAAGGCTTCTCTTAGGCTGGGCATGGTGGTGCACACCTGTAATCCCTGCCTTTAGGAGGGTGAGGCAGGAGGATTGCTGTGAGTTCAAGGCCAGCCTGGGCTACATAGTGAGTTCAAGGACAGCCTGAATTATATAGTGAGACCTTGTCTCAAGAAACAAAACAACAATAACACCTCTCTCTCAACATCAGTAAATCCATTTCAGAGGTCTGTATGCATGTATGTGTGATGGTGGTGGTGGGGTGCTGGGGATTGGACCCAAGGCCTTTAAACAACATTCTCAACATTCTCAAGCCCTTTTAAATATTTTGAGACAGGATCTTACTAAGTCACTAAATTGCCCAGATTGGGCTTGAGTTTGTGATCCTCCTGCCTCAGCCTCCTAGAGTGCTGGGATTAGGAGCTTTAACCACCACTCCTGACTTGAGAGGTTTTTGCTGGGTCCTGCTTGGTCCTGCCCAGGCCTAGGTCACATGTCTGGTCCTACAGTGGGGGAAGTAGGATGTTACCAGGAGAAGAAGGATGGGAAAGCCAGGTAAGCAAACAAAACAATAATTATCACAGTATTTATGATGCCCAATGGAAACTTAATTAAAAAGTAACCAAATGATGAATAGTTCTTCTATCATGCTAGTCACATTCCAAGTGCCCAATAGCCTCTTGTGGTAGTGACACCTGTGCTGCACAACAGAAAGCTTCTGTTATCACAGAAACTGCTTTTGGTCAGGGCTGGGTTGGACTTTAACAAAGAAAGCCCTGATTATCAGTGCAGAGGAGCCCAGGATGGACCTGACCTATTTGGGGGTTTTTGGTTGTTGTTACTGTTGCTTGGGTTTTTTTGTTTGTTTGGTGTTTTGTTTTGAGTCACGGTCATATGTAGCCCAGGCTGGCCTTCAACTAGAGGCAATCCTCCTCCCTGTCTCCCGAGTGCTTTTGGACTTGACCTATTTTGTCAATCTTTCAACAAGTATTTGTCACTTACTGTATTCAGAGCCCTCAACACACAATAGTGTGTAGTAGTAGCAGGCTGGACCTCAAAACTAAAAGGCAATAACTAGGGGAGTGCCCAAGTATCAGAATTCAGGCCCAGGAGAGGCTCAGGCCCAGGAGAGGCTGAGAGCCCAGGTGGAGGCTCCCTAGAAAAGGGGACATCTCACCAGGTGTGACACCACACACTTGTAATCCCAGAACTGTGAAGGCTGAGGCAGGAGGATCACTATCAGTTCGAAGCCAGCCTGGGTTATGTATTGTAGTGAGTTCATGCCAAGTGTGAACCACAGAGCAAGACCTCATCTCAAAACCAAAAATGGGGGTCAGGAACTCTCTGCCCAGACCGGTGAGTTTAAAGAGTCAGGAGGCCAGCTTTGGGGCCATGCTCTTTGGTCTTCAAGGGACCAGAGGACTTACAGTTCCCACTGCCTGCAATGCCCCGCCCCCCTCCCCTGGAGCCAGATCCCTGAAGTGAGGCTTTGAGCAGGAACTAGGCAGAGTCCCCCTGAGGCCATTAACTCAAGGGCTCTGGGCCTGGCTTCCTCCAGGCTTAGTGCCCAGATAAAGTCAGAGCTCTGTAGAAACGGTCCCTGGAGCCTCTGCGTCCCTCGTCATCCTTAGAGTGGACCGCTCCTCTAGGGAAGTAGACCTGCAAAGGGGTGGGGAAGATGCAGCCTCTGACCGTACCCTAAGGCCCAGCCAAGATGCCAACCTCCCCAGAGCCAAGCCCAGGCTGGGGGAGGCGTGGAGGGGCAGGCCACTCCCCCCCCCCAACCTAATCACGCAGCACCCGCCCACGCATGCGCAGTTCAGTGCGTGTGTGTCCCCGCACAGCCCGCGCCAGCTACCCCATCCCTTTCCTCTTCCAGGCCCCCTGGCCCGGAAGTGATATCCCTGCTGTGACAGTGGCAGTGGCAGCTAACTGACCCGAATTTAGAGTATGCTTGTTTGGGAGAGAAAAGCTAGATAGCTTCCCATCAGGCTCTCCTTGCGCCTAAACGGGAGCGCGATGATTACGCAGAGACAATGATCCTCCTACCTATGACACACAAGTAAACGAAGGTTGGCGGGTGCAACGCGGAGAGAGCGAGGGTTCCGGTAGGCACCCCCGCCCCGCCCCTCTCCGCCAGGCCCTCGCGTTTCAGCGACGTCCTCGGTGTCCCGCCTCTGTCCCCATCTCCCAGGGCGCCCTCAGCCCTGGGCCGCAGTGGATCCCGGGTTGGGAGGCAGAGCCGAGGCTGTTGGGGGACTTGGGGGACGTGGTGGGTGGGTGGGGCTCGGTGCCATCGGCCACAGAGTCGCCCTTTGTTTCCCTGAGTCACGGTCACATGGCGCTTCCGGCAAGGGGAGTTCCGGCTCCGCGCCAGGGTCCAGGCGCCCTGCCCCCGCCGGTCCATCCTCCACCCGAGCCTCCGGGTCCACAGCCCGCTGGGTAGCGCTTCCTGAGCGCCCGGGTCACGGCGGAGGGGAAGGGGGGAGCGCTCTCCATGCCCACCGACCGCGCCCGCGCCGCTTTGTCTTCTGCAGTGCCGCTGTTTATTTAGCCTTCCCTAGCTTTTCATCCAAGACCATGGCTTTTGGAGTCCCACACGGCCCCTTAACCTGGACAACACCAGATGCTTAAAATCAGCTCCTCTTGGGTGGGGGATTTATCTCAGTGGTTCCACCGCCTGCCCCGCAAGCGCAAGGACCGGAGTTCGATCTCGGTTACCAAAAATAAATAATAAAATAAAATCAAGCTCCTCTTTCCAGGCATTTGGCAGGCCCTCGGCAGGAGAATCGTCTTAAGTTCGAGGCCAGCTTGTGCAACAGAGTGAGTTCAGTGCCTTCCTGAAATTATATAATGAGACCCTGTCTCAAAAACAAAACGAAAATCAGGCTGCCCTCCCGCCCTCCCCCCAAATGCAGTAACTAGGAGCTGGGCGAGCAAACTGGACTCCATCCCCATCTCTTCATGGGGTGCCAGAGACAGCCTTGAGCCTCCTCCCTCCCCCACCCTATCTATCACCCACAAGCAAAACAATATAAATCACCAACCGGCCTGGGCCTGGCCCTTCCCTTCTTTGGCACAGTGTGCTTCTGGGACAAAGCCACAGTCGGCTGAAAGTGAGCCTAGCCCAATGCAGGGCCATTACTCCTGGCCAGTCTGCCGTGTGTCCCTGGAGCACCATGGACCCTTGTGGGGGGCCCACATCAGTGGGTCAAGAATTCATTCAACAAGTGTTTATTGAACATGTGCTATGTGTAGGGCAAACTAGGCCCTCCCAGAGGGCACTAAGCCCCTGGGAGAAGGTAAGGGATTCTCTTTGCTACCATACAGTGCTTGTGGTATCCCCTGAGGCTCAGCTTCCCTGGGGAGGCCAGCTTCTCCAGGCTACCATCATGCCTTCATCCAAGGCACAGACCCTAGTAACAAGGCAGGTGCTGCCATTTCTGGGGGCTGGTATTGGGTCCTCAGCCTAGGAGATGAGCCTAAGAGATGGAGTCTCAAGGGGCACTGTCAGGCTCTGTGTGAGCTTGTGGTGGGGGTCCCAGGATCTTCCCCTCTCTGGCCAGTCTTTCCTGGTGGCTGACCTCCGGGGACCAGAATGGTAGCAGTGTCATTGCTGTGGCCTCAGGGCTTGGTGGGGAAGAGCAGACAGGTGAGTCCTCGGTTGCCACCGTGTCTGTCCACCAGGAGCAGAGGGTGCTTCCCATGGTGCTGGATCATGGTGGCCACGGAGGAGAAGAGCTACACAGGAGTGAAGGCATTCATGAGTCCCAAGGGCTTTGAGCCTCACAATGCCAGCAACTTCCCAGGCTGAACAGGAGGTCCAGTGAGGGGCTTATGGACACTTTTCTGGATTTTTCCCTTCCCAATTGCCCCATGAAGCTCCATTCCATTTTGCTGCTAGATTCTAAGCCTCAAGCGGCTTGCCTGCCCTGCTGCAAACTGATTTCCAGACCAGATGAAGAAAACTGCCCTGGTCCCCCGGCATGAGGAGCTGAGTTCGGGTGACTGTCTAGCCTGTGCCCTAGCAAATGCTGGGTGCAAAGTTGAATCCTTGGGAGAGGTAGGGAGGAGCCTGGATGCCTGGGACCCTGCTCTGCTCTACCTGGGCTCAGCAGAGGTACAAATGTCCCCACCCGGCTACAGCCTCTGTCATTTCTGCCCAGCCCAGAGAGAACAAGTTGTAGGTTCTCCCACACTCGGGGCTGGGCCCAGAGTGCTGTGCCCCACACCCTCCTGGTCCCAAGGCCCTGCTTCCCTGGGCACCCACCTCTTCGTGGTGCCGGCCCTCCCGGCCCAGGGCATAGTAGCGCCCACCATCCAGCTGCCGGATGGGGATGTTGAAGACCCGGCCTTGAAGGAGCACAACCAGGGTGAAAGGCTGGGAGCTGTGAGGCCCTGAGCTGGGCCTCACCGTGTAGGCCCCATCCTGTGGAGGAGATCCCAGCCATGAGCCTCATCTTCCAGCTGTGCCTCCCAGTACTGCACAAAGTGTCCAGAACCTTCCTGGTCCTCCAGCCAAAGCTTGGGCAGAAGAAGGGACTCTGGAGAAGCCCCAGGGTTGGCAGATGCCCACCTTTTGGAAGCGGAGTAGGGCTGTCTCAACAGCGTGCCGGTCACAGTTCCCGGAGTACCACGGCTGATTCAGGAGGCTGCCGTCCTGCACACATATGCGTGCGCGCGGGCACACACACACACACACACACACACACACACACAGCCACTCAGTCGGGGCTCTGGGTTGGGCATGGGGAGCAGAGAATCCTGGGTGCATTTTTTTGTGTCCACATCTGCCAGCCCCAGACTGAGCACCCACACAGCAGAACAGAGAGGTAGGTGTGCAGTGCACAGCTGGGTGCCACACTCAGTGCTCCATGTGGGTTCCTTACAGTGGTGTGTTCCCCAGCCACCGAGGGCTCCTGGGGTCCTGCTCCCCAGCCTGCTACCAGCCCCTCCTCACCTCGGCAGCTGAGGTGTTCCCGGTAGGGAGTTTGCAAAGAAGAGACCGTCTCCTTCCTGCTGAAAAATGCAGAATATGCAGCTGGGCCTGGGAGGGGTTTGGGCAAAGGTGGCAGCTTCTGGGGTGAGGGTGGCAGGGCACCCTGTGCTTCCCAGCTCTCCTGGTCCCTGGTCGGACCCACCACTTGGCCTTGTGTGACTTTCAAGTGAGTGGCCTTGGGGCACAGACTGGGAGCTTGCTGATTTAGTGCAGAATGGAAAATGCCTCAGAGGGTTCCCTCAGGCCTGATTTTGGCTGGAGGCAGGACCGCAGGGACTTCCTTGGCAAAGCTGGGCCTGAAGGACTGGGACCAAATCTGGTCTGCAGGGCTGTGGCTACGTTGGGGCTGAAGCAGAAGGTACGTGTACAACAGTCTGTGCACTGACCTTTAGAGGTGGCATCTGTTGCTCCCTGGAACACAAGGTATGGTCAGGAAACAGCTGCCCAGGGCCTGAAGTCCCACCCTGAGCCACTGTCCCTGTCCCCACCCCAACTTCCCCTTTGATCTTGATCTTCTTACATTCCACGCTTCTGTGGGGGCTACAGTAGGCCTGCAGGAAGGAAATTGGGGAACAGAGCTCAGGGTCTTTGTCACCTCCATGAGAAAGAGCCCAGTGAACCCAGCATCCCAAGCTGTCCCTGTCAGCAGCCCTGGAACAAGGCAAGGAGGTCTCACCCGGCAGTCAGGCCTGAGGTCTGAGTTGTCACTCTCTCTTGCTCTCTCTTGTGTGTGCACTGCACCCAGAAGGGCACTCACCTGGGCACCACAGATGTCCTTGGCAGAGGGACTGGGGGTATCAGAACTTGGGAGCTCAGAGTCCAAGTCAAAGCAGGGACTGAAACAGAGAGGGCAGGCTGGGCTTGGCCACCCCGAGTGGGGACATCCAGGTGGGGCAGGGCAGGACTGAGGACAGCTGCAGGGCCTGGGCTTCCTGAGAGTCCTGCCAACCAAAGGGAGAGGCCGGCCTGGCTGCAGTGGCCAAGGAGTCCCCAAACCCTTGCTTTGAGGGGTTCACCTCCCTGGTAGACACCATGAGGGGTCAACTAGGGCCAAAGGCTGAACTGAAGATGTGCTTGGCTCACCAGGGTCCGGCTCGCACTCCAGGTAGATGTTCTCATCAGGCTTCCTTGCAGGGCCTGGCACCTAAGTGGATAGGGGTGTGTGGGTCCTGGGTTTGACCAGCCCTGGGGTTCCTTTAGGACTAGGGGCCTCTGCCTCCAGCTGCAAGGGCGGAGTAGGGAGGGAACTTTGATTGTAAGGGTCATCCTGGGCACCTCACTCCCTCCTCACCAAGGGGCCCTCTTTTTGGGAGAAGCTGGAATGACTGAAAGTGCTCCTCAGAGAGGGGCTGAGGCAGGAGGATCCTTGAAAGTCTGAGGCCAGCCAGGGCTGCATAGCAAGACTGTGTCTCCAAAAACCCCCAAAATTAAACTATATTAAATTAAATTGCTCCTTGCTTGCAAGGGGACATCCCATGGTCACCTTCCTCTTCAGAGGTGCCACAGGCAGCAGCTCTCAGAGAATGTGGGTGTTGAGGAGCCTTGGACAGCACCCCACTGGCTTATGCCTGCTGAGGACCTGTGGCAGAGGGGGCTCTGCTCTGGGCCTTTCCCTTCAGCTTCAGGGATTTTTCCTGGCCTTCTTGGGCCCCACCTCACCCCACCGTTCCAGGCAGAACCACAGACTGAGAAAGGGATGGGGGGTAGCTCACCACTCTGGACAGTGCACCCCGCTCTGCAAGGAAAAGAGAGAGCCATGGTTGAGAGCAGCAGGGGTGGGGCTAGTACACCCTAGGACGAGGTGACCTTCCAACCACCTTGCCAGGCTTTCCTCCAGCTGACTCTGGGCTGGTCCCGATTATCAAAGCCACCCTCAAGGTCACAGAGGTCTACCAGCTCTGGGCACAGTAAAACAAAATGTGCCTCAGGTGACCGGTTCAACCTTGGGCAGGGAAAGGGCGTGTTCCCTGAGGTCCCTCCCTGTCCTAACTTCCAGGGTTCTAGGGTCTCGAAGGAGCAAGTCCCTGGACAGCCATGGCAATAATAACATGGACCAGCTAGGTGTGGAGGCACCCCCCTGTGATTTCAGCACTCAGGAGGCTGAGGCAGGATGATCACCACGAGTTTGAGGCCAACCTGGGCTACATAGTGAGTTTAAAGCCAGCCTGAACTTCTTAGCAAGACATTGTCCCAAAACAAAAACAAAAGTGAAAATGATGGCCTGGACGGAGTCAGAGTGGTGGCTCAAGGGCACTCCCTTTGATGTGGGATGGGATTCAGATGTCTCAGGAGGGAGGGCCCTCCAGACAGAGCAGGCTGCCCTCCTACCTCTTCATGCTGGGCTTTCCCGCACCTGACCCAGAGGTCATGCCAGGTGCAGAGCAGGGCCTGGGGTGGGCCGATGTCTGTGCCATCTCAGACACAGCAATTCCTGTTTCCTGGCAAGCCAAGCTCCACGCCCGGGGGATGAGGACTCCCCTCTAGCTCGGAGCCACAGAGAGAGCGGATGTCCCCCCTTACCTTGCCTCCCAGAGATGGAGCACTGTTTCATGGCCGCACACAGGTTCATTGCTACCTTCAGCTGTGGGCACAATGGGGCTGGTGAGGGAGGAGGGGACAGAGGCTTCCAGAGCAAGAACGGTGAGGGGCAGTGGGATGGGGTTCCGCTGTAGCTGCAGTGTGAAAAACCAACCGGGCAACACAGGAAATGTACAAAGGGAGGACACCTCTCCATCTCTACTCTATAGCTTACTTTGTTGTCTCTCCCCATTTTTTTTTTTGGTACCGGGGATCGAACTCAGGACTTTGTGCTTGTGAGGCAGGTGTGGTGCCACTGAGCTACATCCCTGGGAAAAATATGCTGTAGACATATTGTATTGGGGGGGAGGGATTTGTGGGGTTTTTGGTACCAGGGATCAAACTCAGGACTTTGCGCTTTCGAGGCAGGCAGCAGAATCCCCAGCCCCTCTCCCTGTTTTTATAACAGTGTAATACAGAACGGAAGTGGAAGATTTCAAAGTCCAAAATCAGTGGGCATGGGAGCTGCTATGGGCCTCAGTCTCAAGAGACTTCTTTAGTCTGGGCAGGGAGGGGTCCTCAGCCCCAGAGACCTGGGGTGGGCAGCTGAGCCTGGCCCCAGCCCCCCAGCTTAGGACATGAGGCAGTGAAGCCCCAGGGGAAGGGGTAAAAAGGGCCAGCTGGGCCGGTTGAAGGAGTGACTGACACTGATGGTTGCAGGGCTGTGGCTTCCAGTGTTCAGTGGCCTCTTGAATGCAAATATGGGGCATCTTGCAAATGAGCTGTCTCTAAGGTTTACTCACTGGGAAAGGGCAGCCCTCGGCGGGGCGGCTGGGGAAGGAGGGACTGGTGAGGAGGCCTCTCCCCTTGATGGGCTGAGGTCGGGGTGGCAGTGGGCCCACGGGGCCAGAGTGATCTGGAAAAGACACCCTGCGTTGTGGGTTGGGCAGGTTCCTCCCAGGCAGGCCCCATTCTCCTGCCCCCCACCTATTCTCCTCCACCTCTCCCTCCCTCATTCCTCTCTGCTCATTGACTTCCTGAAAGCCTGGTCTCCTTGGCAACTGCAGGCGACCAGTGTCCCCGCCCCCACCTGGCTGAGCCCAGGAGCATTGCGGGTGGGATACCAGTGACATCCGGGCTCACAGGCACCCCCACCTGATAGAGAACATGCTGGGATTTCAGAGGGGGAACACCAGGCCCCCAGGGACCCTGTCAGTCCTCTGGCTTTCTGCTGTTGCCTTGGTTACTCCCACCTCTCTCCCATTCTTCTTCCCTCCCTCCCCTCTCTCTTCCTCCCTCCCTCCTTTCCCTCTCTCCCTCTGCCCGGTGTGGAGGCCCCAGTGACTGCCAGCTGAGGAGGGCAGTGCAATCTGAGGAAGAGAGACAAGACCTGGACTGTCTTCCCTCTGGCCCTGCCCAAGCCTCAGCCTCCTTACTCCCCTTCCCAGGCCTCACCCAGGTACACAGAGTCCTCCTCCAAGCCGGGGAGGTGCACAGGGGCCAGACTGCGGGGCAGAGCCTCACAGGGGGGCAGCTCATATTTGTCCTCTTCTTCTTCCTCTTCATCCTGCTGGGCCTTCAGAAAGGGATGCTAGCCCCAAGAGGCCTGCAGGACACTGGTGGCCACTGCCTCCCCCTCCTCTGTGGCAGCCTCAGCAGCTGGACTTACCTTGTGTCGCCAGGTCTGTAGGGCAGGCAGAGGAAATGGATCGGGGGCATCTTCTCTCCAAGCTGGGGCATCTGCAAGGACAGTCTGGCCTCATCTCTTCCCGGCCCAACCCCTCTAGCACAAAGCCCTTCGGTCTGCCAAGAGTAAACCCCTCTGCACTGGAGTGGGCTTCAACCCTTCAACTCAAGGGACTTATTCACCACAGCACCTCTAGCACTGCAGTGGGGCCTCCCACCTGTGCCAGCCCCTGCCCTGCCCCTGCTGCTGAGTGAAGCAGGAGCCAAGCAGTGCTGTACCATGGTGGGGTCCAGAGCCACCCAGGGAGACCCAACTCATGGTGGACCCCATTCTGCTGGGCCCCTCTGGCCCACTGTGTCACTTACCCATGCCTCTGGGGGGTGGGACAGGGGGCCCCAACCTGCAAGCAGACTCTGGTCAACTCTGCCCAGGGGGCCCTTGGGTTTGTGTCAGCTTGACACTGTGTTTAGGACATTCCGATCCATGACAGTGTGAATGTCCCCAGGAGCTGTGTGGCCAGGGCAGCTGGGGGAGGAGGCTGGGGGCAGAGCTAGTGGCCTTTGGGTGCACAGCTGGATGAGTTGGTGCTCTAGGGAATTGGAGGGCTGAGTGTTAGGTGCTGCCAGAGGGCGGAAGCACAGGAACAGTTGCACAGGGGTGCAAGGGGTGCAGAGCCAGCACCCCACCTAGGACAGTTGTGCCTGCAAAGGAGGGCCGGGGGTGGGGTAGAGACCAGAGGGCAGGAGAGAGAGGAGCCCAGGTACTCACCGGGGCTTGTTCCTGCTGAGCTTGTCCTGGAAAGAGCCAGGGAGGGGCAGAGAAAGGGTGCTCAGTACCCCTGGATTGCCTGTCCCTGCCCAGGGGCCTGGCCCCAGGGGTGGCTAGGTGTCCTGCCTAGGACAGCTCCGGGACCAAGTCTCACCATGGCAGGGGGAGAAGAGCTCTGCCTCCCCAGAGCCCAGGATCTGCCACAAATGGCCTGGGGACAGCAACCCTATTGTTCCCATTATTTGCATCTCCTAAACACCAGGAAGGTGGCTCAAACAGACTTCACCCAGGACGCACCCAGGGCAGGCCCCAGCTCTCCCTCCCCTGTGCTGAGCTGGACCAGGGCTGGTGGGCTGCTTGCAGCTCTCTGATTAATGTCACCTTCCCCGACTCACAGCCAGCCTTGCGTTATGGATCCAGTGAAAAATGAAGACTGCCCCTGCAGACCAATTAAAACCCTTCGCTCTTAGTTTCATTTGCTGGTGATCAGTGAACAGTGGTCAGAGAAATTCGGTTGTGGCCAAGAAGATGGAAGCCACAGAACAAGAAGGGTCATGGATGCAGCCCTAGTCCAAGGTCAAAGGCCTAGAAGCTCACAGGAGGGTTGGCAGTCTTAGCTTAGACTGCTGTAACAGAATGTCACAGACCAGGTGGCATAAGCAATAAAAATGTTACTTTCTCACAGCTCCAGAGAAGTCTAAATTCAAGATGCCAACGAGGCTGGTTTCTGGCGTGGCCTCTTTTCTGGGCCGGGAGACAGTCAGCTCCCCATGTCCTCACATGACCTCTTGTTTGCACAGAGTGTGGGACAGAGAGAGGGGGAGAGAGAGAGAGAACAAGTCCCACTCCTAAGACCCTGCTTTACCTCAGTTGCCTCCCTGGAGCCACTGTCTCCGATTACAGTCCCACTGGGGATTAGGGCATCCACAAAAGAATTAGGGAGGGGGGACAAGTCAGTCCATAACAGTGAGGCTCTAAGAAGCTGAATAACCTTCTCAAGGTCCTGCAATTAGTAAAGTGCTACAGCTGAGACTCAACCTATCTGCCCAACCCAGAACTTGGGTCTGGCCCCTCCTTGCTTATGATGAGATTGGACTCATTGGTACCAGTGGGCTTTCTTTCTTTTCTTTTTTTCTTTCTTTTTTTTTTTTTTTTTGGTGCTGGGGATCAAACTCAGGACCTTGTGCTTTCGAGGCAGGCGGCAGGGCCACTGAGCTAAATCCCCGGCCCCAGTGGGGTTTCTTAAGGAGCTCATGACTTCCCTGTACACTGTTACTTCTTCGAATCAGCTTTTGAGAAGTATTGACATAAAAGTGAAGGGAGGGCCAGGGATTTAGCTCAGTGGTTCTGCCACCTGCCTCGAAAGCGCAAGGACCTGAGTTCGATCCCCAGTACCAAAAAAAAAAGTAAAGGGAGCCTGACACCTGACTCTTTAAACCAAGAAATGAGGAAACATTGACTGTGATCAAGAATGTCAACACTTTTAGAATCCTGTAGCTTTCTCACACATATTATTTTGGTGATATGCTGGCTGTTGGCACAAAGGGGAAATGAAGCATCAGGGTTGGAGGTGGCCATAGCCTTAGAAAGGAAGACCAAAGACCGGGGATTTAGCTCAGTGATACTGTGGCTGCCTCACAAGCACGAGGTCATGAGTTTGATCGCTGGTACCAAAAGAAAGAAAGGAAGACCAAAGCTGGGCGTGGTGGCACAAGCCTGTATTCCCAGCCCTCATGAGGCCAAGGCAGGAGTTCAAGGCCAGCCTAAGCTACATAGTAAGTTCAAGGCCAGCCTGAATTACATAGCAAGACCCTGTCTCAAAAAATAAAATATATATAAGTAAACAAATAGAAAGACCAGATGACCTGCAAGCAAATGGGCACTTAAGAAGCCATGAAGAGGGCCAAGGAAATAGCTCAGTGGTAGAGGGCTTGCCTATCACGCACAGGGCCCTGGGTTCGATCCCCAGCAAAGCATGTTGAACACAAAGAGGCTATGAAGAGTCACCAGGCAGCTTAACAGGGAGCCCAGGTGGTGTAGTGGGGAAGACCTAGGAGACAAACACAAAGAATCTGCACCCGAAGCTCAGGACTTGGCTCAGCTCCTTGTCCTTTGCTCCCTCGTTGACCTTTGGTCCATAGGCAGGGGATGACCTCTCTCCCCCAGAGGACCCCATGGGATCAGAGTCCTTCCCTCACGGTGAGCACAGGACTCTGGACACCACCCTGCCACAAACCTCAAACCAAGTGAGTGCCCTCGGGCACCCTGTCCTTGCTCAGCCACCTTCTGCCTCTGACCAGGCTTTGCATACATAGGGAAATGCTGAGGCCTGAGCCAATTCAAGGCCCAGGGAGAGATGGAGCCCATGCCATCGGGGTGGGGGCACCAGCCTATGCAGATCTGGCAGGAGGGAGGGAGGAGGCCACCGCGACAGCCTTGTCAGCCAGCCCTCAGCAGGCAGACCTGTACATACTTTCTCCATCTTTGGCATGGGGCGGTTTTGTGTACACCACAGCTGTTCCCTCAGGAATGAGTTCCTAGAAGCAGGGTTGCTAGAAGCTCTCATTTTGAAGGTTTAATGCCACATTGTCTGGTAGCCTCCGAGTGCCCTTTCATGGTCCTTCCAGAGCACGATGTGAGTCTCCAGATTTTTCAGAGCTCAGCTGATCTCCCATAGAACAGGTTCTAATTTATAGGCCCAGGTCATTTAAATTCACCCAAAGAGCCATCTGGATCAGAATCAAAAGTCTTAGATTCCCAGGCCCCCCTTAAGATGGCAAAGAAAAAAAAAAAAGATGGCAAAGAATTGGATCCCCCAAGGAAGGGGATTAGGGGTCTAATTTTTTTCCGTTTTTTGGTTTTTTGAGACAGGGTCTCACTATGTAGTTCAGGCTGCCCTTAAACTCATTATGTAGCCCAGGGTGGCCTCAAACTTGAAGCAATCCTCCTGCCTCAGCCTCCTGAGTACTGGGATCACAGGTGTGCACCACCGTGCCCAGTAGGGGTCCAATTTTTTTTTTTTTTTGGTACCAGGTATGGAACTCAGGACCTTTCACGTATGAGGCAGGCAGCAGAACCACTGAGCTACATCCCCAGCCTGGGGTCCAATATTTTTAACAGGCACCCTAGATCCAGCCTATGATAAGTTGAGAAAGGCCACTCAGTACAAACATCTGAGAAGATGTGACTTCCCTAGGACATTCTTAGAATCACATGTAGCCCTTAGCTTGTTTGGAACACAGGGGTCCTGGCAGAGAAGGAATGTGACACAGACCCTGCCCTCCAGCGGTGCTGAGTATAGACAGGGCAGCCCCAAGGAGAGCTTCAGTCTCTCTGGCTTCTGTGTCCTTTTGCATGAGTGGGAACATGAATAAGGCATTTGTCACTGGGGTGAGGAGGGGCTTCTGAGGGTTGAATGAGCTGACCACACCCTCCGCTAGGGGCTTGTGAGATCAGCGGTGTTGGAAGATGCTTGGCCACCTTGGCCATGACCCTTGGGACATTGTTTCTGGGTGGTTCTCTGGTCCTCCTGGAGATGCTATGAGCTGTAGATTTCTTTTTTCATTCCAAATGTATTTTCTTCCTACCTTTTTCTTTTTTCTTTTCTTTTTTTTTCTTTTGAGACATGGTCTTGCTATGTAGTACAGGCTGGTCTTGAACTCACTAGGCTAGGCTAGGCTGGGCTTGATCTGCCGTGATCCTCCTGCCTGGACCTCCTGAGTGCTGGAATTACAAGCATGTGCCACTATGCCTAGCTTTCCAAATTTATTTCTTGGACATGACAAAACTCTACATACAAGTGGCCTGGACCTACTGCTCCAAAACATAATTCTTACTAATAACTGGATAAGTCAGGCCTAGAGTGTTAAAGGGCAATTTTCTCTAAAATAAGTAGAAAAATGTCCGATACACTTTAAACAAATGGCCTAACTACTGGAACATTGGTAGTTTTACAGGATAATAAGCATAGGTAGATGGAGTCCTCAGGACAAGCCGCTGGAGAGCCTGTAGGCCTGGTCCCCAGCCCTGGGAGGCAGCAGTGTTTCTGGATCACAATGTTCCCATTATCCAATTCCAGACATTGCAGGAATGTCAGTATGGTCAGAGGTCGCCTCAGTGTCACCCAGCCTGCTCCTCTGAAGGGGCCCACAGCAGCCCAGATGGAGTCCTGGTCAGTCTGGGCTCAGGACCAACAGTGGACTCTAAGCACTGTCCTAGATCACTTGACACTGCCTGCCCCTCAGCCCCTGGACCCCTAGCCTGACACATCCTTCTCCCACCTAGGGAATATTTTTGAATTATGTTTTGGCCTAAACCAGACTTGGTTTCTCTTTTCTTTCAGTTAAGAGCTCTAATCTAGAGACAAACCCTCAGCGTCAGCAGGGTCCCACCACACGTATGCCAGGTAGCCCTCAGGGGCCTAGAGAGGGGGGAAAAAAAAAAGAAAGAAAGAAGGAAGGGAGGACTGTCTGACAATAAGTCAGGGCCAAAGGGGTGACATGGGAAGAGGCCTGACCATGGCAGGACGGGAGAGGAGGCCATGTCTTCGGTCAGGGGCCTTGAGGCCTCAGGATGTCTTCCGCAAGCAGGTGCTCGAGTTGGAGGACCAAGGCCTTCCTGCTGGAGGCCCTGAGGCCCATGGAGCTCTGACTGTGGTTGAGTCAGCTGCTGTCAGGGACAAAGCTGACGAGACAGGGCCCACATCAGCGTCATCGGCAGAGGCCTCTTTTTCTCCCACACCCACTGCTCTCCACGGCCTGTGACTCAGCTCCCTCTGGTAACATCTGCGTTGGCACGGTGCTGAGGCACAGCGGCTCCCTCAGGGTCTTCCTGCATCTCTGACTGATTCGTGATCAGCCGTTGCTGCCTCCTCCGAGGGCAGTGACAGACCCGGCCCCCATCTGCCTTGAAATCGTGGGCAGCTGGGGATAGGTAGTTTCTCTCTGCCTTCTCAGGGCAGGTCACAGGCTCCCCCAGATCCTCTCAGGGCTAGGGTGAGGCTGAGCGCTGAGTGCTGAGCTTGGCCTTCTCTGGTCTCCAGGGGAAAGGGCAGCCACTGGCTCTACCCGCTGCTTCCGCCCAGCTCTGGAACCTGCTCAGAGTGGAGCCTGAGGTGTCCTGGCTCTGCCTAAAACCCAGTGACACCCATGTGGCCTTGAATGGAGATCACATATTTCTCGGTGCTTCTTGAGATCCCAACCCCACCCACCCCACCTCGCCAGCCCTGGCTCTTCTACTGGCAGTGCAGCTTCTCTCTATGGTGTTGGCCTGGCTGGGGCCCGCAAGGCCCATTCTGCACTTTTTGACTTAAGGAAATTTCAATTGGAAGAAAAAAATTTTTTTTTTCCTTTGGTGTTTTGAAACAATGTCTCGCCATGGAGTTCAAGGTGGAGTTGAACTCATTATTGCAGCCCAGGCTGGCCTTGAACTAATGGCAATCCCCCTGCCTCAGCCTCCCAAGTGCTAGGATTACAGGTGTACACCACCAAGCTGGCTCTAGTTAAAAGAAATTGAGAGCTTTACTCAGTCTTTAGAGAATATAACAGAGGGAGGATATCCTGTGTATGTGTGCAGGTGCGTGTGTGTGCACGCACATGCATGCATAAGCACGTGTGTGTGTGTGTGTGTGTGTGTGTGTGTGTGTTGCCAGAAACTGAACCCGGGGTGTTATGTAAGCCCTTATCTTTATTTTGAGACAAGATCTTTTTTGTTTTGTTTTGTTCTGTTTTTTTGAGGCAGCATCTTGCTATGTAATGCAGGCTGGCCTTGAAGTCAAGGTGATCCTCCTGTCTCAGCCTCCTGAGTGTTGGGATTATAGGATGTACCACTATGCCCAGTGAGACAAGAGCTTGATAAATTGCCCAGTCTGCCCTTGAACTTGTGGTCCTCCTGTGTCAGCCTCCCAAGTAGCTGGGATAACAAGCATATGCCGCTGTGCTCAGCTAGGACTTTCTTACTATAAAGCAAAATGTAGTAAAAAGAAAAAAAAGGCAATTTTACCCCCATCCCAGAAGGCACTGTCCTCTTGGTTGACCCTCCTTCTCCCAGGGCCCTATCCTTTATTATGCACAGCCCGTGGCTTTCAGGCTGTCTGGTATCCTGCTCCCTTGGCCTCGGCCTCGGCCTCGGACCCACCGGACCAGAGGCTTGGGATTCAGCCTGCCGGTGACAGGGTTGGGGAGACAGGCTGTCAGGAGCCTTTGCTCCAGCTCAGGCTCCTCCTTCCCGCGAACCACAGTTTTGGGTACCCTTCCCTAGCAGAGATCGCAGAGCAGAACCCCTCCCTCTAGGCTCCAGGTTTCAAGGGTGGCTGAGCTCCAGGCTCCTTCCAGAGCTGGCCGTAGGCGCCCTCTGGGCGAACAGCTCCATAAACCGCAACCACCATGTCTGTTATGTTCCTGCCATGCAGTTCAGCGCCACTTCCCGAGTGTGGCCCACAGCCTGGCACACAGCAGGCTCTGACCAACGAGTGTTGTCGCTGTTGTGCAAAGGGTACTAGCTCTTCACTGCCTACGGAAAGCCTTGCAAACAACCCGGTCTCTGAATGCAGCCATGAGGATTCCCTGCAGGCCTCTGGGCGAGACCCCACCCTGCTGGGTCCTTTCCTCTCCCCTCCTCCCAGGCAGGCACCCGCCCCTGCCCTCCCTGCTCCGAGGTCTCGTGGCCCTGCCTGGCTTCCGTCCTCAACTCTCAGCCCGGCAGCCAACCATCTCCTGTTCGTTTCTCCCGGAACTGCTAAGAGCCCGACTCTTCTAACCTGCCCCTGGGACACAGGACGCTTGCTCCCGGATGCCTCTGATAAACCTGGACGCCCTAAAATCACCCTCCCTACCTTTAACAATGGAAAGGACCAGAGAGGAGACAGACGCTGGGAGTTGGACCGAAGCCATTTGCTTACGATCACAGGGCCGACAGCCCCCTCGTCAGTCCCCGGCCCCTCCAGGGACCTGTGTAGTCGTCTCACGGGAAAGGGTGACCCCTGGTGGCGAGGAGAAGGTAGCGCCTGGCTCATTCCCAGGACCCCGAGCCAGGCGGAAGAAGGGTCGTGGCCCCGGGACCCGCCCTTAATTCTCGGGAAGGTGATAAAGCTCCTTGGGGAGGGAGGGACAACCGTGGCCGCTCCATGCCCTCAGCCACATTCCTCGTAATGACCTAGTGACACTGTCCTGCGGCTTTAACTGCACCAGGTCGGCTGGATCTTCAGCCATTAAGTGGCTTTTCGCACTAGCTTTTGACATCAGGGGTCTGGTGCACAGCTCGAATTCTAATACTTCCAGGCTTTCACGTCCTGCAGGGCAGCGCCACCTGCAGAATGGCTGCTCCCTACCGGAAGCCGCCTCTTCTAGGAGCCCAGATCCGGGCTGGACTCTGGACTGTGGGGAAGTTGCTGAGCACCACCTTCCTGCCCCCAGTGATGAATGATTGCCTCCAACGCTCAAGAAAACCCCCTCTAGTCAAAGGCCCCTTAGATACAGTATTTCAGGCCTCTTCTGTGGCCTTGTTCTATAGCCAGGCTTCTACCGAAATTGATGAGTTTCCAGTCAAACTCATCAGTTTTCCAGGAAACTGGGTAAAGGAATAGAGGTTTTTGTTTGTCCCCTTGCTGCAGAATACCAGAACCAGGAAACAGACAGCACCCAGAGATTTGAAGGCAGTAAACAGCTTTATTTACACCAGTGGACCTGACCAGGATCTTTCCCCCAAAGAGGTCAGGCCCAGAATATTGGTGGGCCAGCAGTTTTATAGGGCTGCAAGCAAAAGGTACAGAAGCAGAGTATCTGGCAGTCTTTGGTTGGTTAATTATTTGACATTTTTTACATCTAAGAGGCTTAATTCCATTGGAGTTTCCCTGGGAATATAGCAAGCAGTGTTTACACAAAGCAGAGCAGTGGACAGAGGGCAGAGCAAAGAGTTCTGGCAGGACTTTCTGAGTTGGTTACATTCCTTTGGTGAGAGATTACAGAAGCTGTCATGGCTACACAGGTACATTCTACAAAGAGCATAGTTACCTAGTTAACCAATAGTTGCTTAATAACATAGTTAACTCACAGTTGTCTGATTTAGTTTTTGGTTAGAAATTCTCTTTCACCCTCACCCCCAAGTACTAGGGATTGAATCAAGGACCTTCTCACTAAGCTACATCCTCTGCCCTTTTCTGTTTTGAGTTGGGTTTCACTAAATTGTCCAAACTGGCCTGGAACTTTCATCCTTCTACCTCAGCCTTCCAGAGTCCTGGGATTACAGGCATGCGCCACCACTCCCTGCTAAAAGAGTAGAATTTTTTTAAATAATGGTTTTGAAGAAGTACTTTAAAACAATGACTCCAAAATACACCACTTTCATAAGTGAGGATGTTATCTGTTAGATGTTTACATTTTAAGCAGGAAAACATTTTTGTTTGTTTTTTAAGCACTGAACGCTTTGAACCCAACCTGGGCAACTTACTAACTTATTCAAGTGTTGTCTGAAGAAGAAGGGGGAGAGGGAGGGAGGGGAGGGAGAGGGAGAGCCTGAGGCAATGCCTGTCCTCAAGTTTCTGAGCTACTTATCTCTGGTCTCCAGAGGCAGAAAGTTACCAACAAAATACTGATTGTCTTAAGTTTTTGTAAATAAGGAGGGGAAGAGGGATAGGGGGATGGGGAAAAAGAAGAAGCAATATATATCATGTACACATACAAATTCCCTATGATGAATGTTATCATTATGTGTATCTAAAATGTATAAATAAATGTTTTGCCAAAAAAAAAAACCCAAAAAACACTGATTATCTTAACAGAAAGACTCAGAAAAACAAGCCTTGGAGACCATTCCAGGCAGAAATAAAGCTTAGGGACCCACCTGACCAGTTAATATGAACTTCACCCCTGCTACCAAGAGAATCTGGACAGCCTACTTGGAATATTCCTTCTGGAGTTGTTTCTAATTGTCTCAAGATTAACTGGAATATGCCAGGTGTGGTGGTGCTTGCCTGTGATCCCAGCACTCAGGAGGCTGAGGCAGGAGGATCACCACGAGTTTGCTTGAGCTACACAGTGAGTTCAAGGCCAGCCTGAACTACACAGTGAGACCCTGTCTCAAAACAAACAAAAAGATTAAATGGAATATTTCTAGGAAGTAACTGATCACCATCAACTACGTAAGACTGACTACATTACAGGGTCACGTTATGCCTTTGTAGATTATCTCCCTACCTACCTGGACCACCGGGCCCATAGCAAATATATATGGCCAGGTCAGGAAGTGTAAAAGATGAAGACGGGGTCGGAGACAGAAAGTCCAATGTGTTCCTGGCCACTGTGGTGTCACTGTTCCCGATACAGGTGAAACCCGAGTCCCCACTTGGGAGCCAGAAATCAGCTGAGACGAGGCCTAGGAGACAGGCTGCCCTGGCCCCAGAGGGTGGATGAAGTGGGGCCCGGGAGCAGCTCATCCTACCTCGCAGTCTGACTGGCACTAAAGGGTCTGGGTAAGTCCCTTCGGCAGCACCTGAGACTCCTCGGGCAACCTGGGAAGTTAGGGCGAGAGTTGTGGCAAGAACGTGACCTTGCGTTGTGAGCTGAGCGCTTTGAGAGAGAGGATTTTGGAAGAGAGCGCCCTGGTTATTACCTCCGGGAAGCCGCTCATCTTTCATCTTGGCTCTGGCAAGTAACGCTGATGCCTGGGCGCAGAGCTCCAACGGCCGGGTCCTACTTCAGGAGACAAGGAGGACCCAGGCCTTCCTGAGACTCTCCAGGGACCTGCAGGCCACACAGAGACCCTAACAGTCCTATTCCTGCCTCACTGGCTGGGTTGCTCTTCCGAGATGGGAGTTTGCTAGTAGAGAGGGAGGAAGAATCTGGGAGGCGCCCTTGGGTCCCTACTGACAGTGGGCCCAAGTCCCCACTCACCATTCCCTCCCCAGGGGTCCCAGCCTCGTCCAGAGAACTGGGCGGGGCTAAAATCGCGGAAGAAGGCTCGGATCTGCGATCCCAGGGTCCAGCAGTGTGTTCAGGGCCGGGGAGCCAGGTCTGAGGGCCAGCCAGACTACGCAGCAGGGCAGGCCGCCCCGCCGTAGGGATCCCACCGCTCCAGACACCACATCTCCTAGACAACCGCACCTGAGGCCACGCCCCGCCGCCCCTGCCTGCTGGAACTTGTAGTCCATAGGAGCGGGTCCGAACGCCCGCCGCACACCCATGTGTGCGTCTGAGTATGTGTATGCCCATATGCTGAGGTCCGCAGCGGCGTTTTTGGCCCTCTGGCCTCTCCCCCGAGGGCTCTGTGGACCCGAGTTTAGCCGGCGGGTCCCAGTCCGCCACTCCCGAGGTTCCCCGCGCTGCATGCTGGGACTTGTAGTCCGCAGGGGCGGGGCCAGAACGCGGAGAGGGGCGTTTGAATGTGCGTGCTGGGATTTGTAGTCCATAGGTGCTCGTTCCTCTCTTTTCTCCGCTAGTCCTACTTCTGGGCTGTGAGCAAATTACTGCGGGGCTTCTCGTAGCTGTTTCAGGCAGAGCGGCGGTGTACTTGCCAACGCCTGTAGGCCCAGTCTGTAGATGGGCAAACCATGGCACCAAGAAGGGCATGCCATGGCTGGACTCCGCCCCCTGTTAAGTGAGGACTTGGCCTGAGAGTCTCAGCCCCGGCCTGCCTGGCAAAGCTGAATGAGACATAAGGCCCTTTCGGTTCTTAAGATTCTGTGATCAGGGCCGGGGATTTAGCTCAGTGGTTCCGCAGCCTGCTTCGAAAGTGCAGGGTCCGAAGTTCGATCCCCAGTACCAAAAAAAAAGAAAAAAGAAGAAAGAAAAAAAATCTGTGATCAGTGGTATCTCAGAATTACATTATGAACAAAACTTGCTGCAGTTAGGGTTGACACCCCAACAAACACACACACCATAAAGAGGTCTATTAGGCAGTTTAAAGTATACACTCAAAGAAAATATGGACTGTTAAGAAAGTGGCACCGATAAAAATCTTTTTGTTTTTGGCTTTTTTAACGGGTCTCACTATGCAGTTCAGGCTGGCCTTAAATTCACTGTGTAGCCCAGGCTGGCCTCAAACTTGCAGTGATCCTCTACCTCAGCCTCCTGGTAAATCTTTACATGACAAATCTGTCAGCTCTAAGGAGGGGATCCCAGAGAGGAAGTCTGCAGTAACAAAGAAAACATATGGGCAACTCTGGCCCACAGCTTCAAGAATCAAAATTGCGCGGGGATGGGGCTATTTAGAAAACCCTAAAGCCCAGCGAGGGCTGTGCCTCAGAGCCTCACTTTAAAGGGGAAAGCACATTACCATAGTTGTGTGGGAAGCTGGGGACAGGTATGTAGGACTTCACACTTTGTTTATCAGTGGGGTGCAAATGAGTTGGAATGGCTTTACTACTGAACGTTCCAAAGCCTTTTGTATTTGTTGACAGCTTTATTGAGATTTGAGCCATATACTGTCAAATTCACCCATTCTTTCTGTAAAATTCAGTATTTTAGTCTATTCACAGAATTGTGCAACCATCATCACTGCCATCTAACTTTGGAATAATGTTTTCATCACCCCAACCTCATAGCACTCATTTCTCCCCAAGCCCCACAGTCCTTACTTTCTCCATAGCTTAGCCTATTCCAGATAGTTCATATACATGGAATCGTGATATGTGGGCTTGGTGTCTGGCTCTCTTCACATAGCACAATGTTTTTGAAATTCACCTAGGTTTTTTTTTTTTGGTACCAGGGATCAAACTAAGGACCTCACACTTGCCAGCCAGCTGCTGTGCCACTGAGCTAAATCCCAGTCCCTCATCTAGGTTTCAATAAGTATCAGTACTTGGTACTATTCAATGCTGAGAGCAGATGGGCTTGGGAAGAAAGGATGGTTAGGACGGAAGGCATGGTTGTCTGTTGCATGGCTCCCCACACATCCTCTGCCACTCACTAAGTTGTTTTGACCTCACTGTGCCTCTGTTTCCTCATGTAACATGAGGATAATAAGAGGATCTACTGGGCCAGGGATTTAGCTCAGTGGTTTCGCCACCTGCTGTGCAAGCGAAAGGACCCGAGTTTGATCCCTGGTACCAAAAACCAAAAAAAAGAGGATCTACTTACTTACTTTACTTATTTATTTTTGGTTCTTCGAGTCAGGGTCTCACTATGTAATTCTGGCTGGCTTTGAAGTCACTATGCAATCCAGGCTGGCTTCAAATCTGGAGCTATTCTCCTGCCTCAGCCTCCTGAGTGCCGAGATTACAGGTGTGCACCACTGTGCCTGGCTGAGGATCTACTTTAGAGAGTAAATGGGCTGATTAAGACAGTCATATAGGGACAGAACCCAGCATATAGTGCCAGCATTCAATAGTGTCAGCTGTTATCTGACCTAACAATGTTGGTGATGTTGGGGACTGGCATAATTCTGGCTGAAAAGGGGTTCGCTTGTTCTGTTTGCCCCCTGGGGGACCACTGCATCATGCCCCAATCAAAAAGCACCCTCTCTAGACCTCGTGCTCCTCCTGTACCCTGGGCCTACCCATGCTGCACTGGATAGTCCTACTTTCCTAAGGGGTCACTAAGGAAGTCTAAGATATCACTGTCTTGGTTGCTTCTGAGCGCCAGCAGTGATTTAAGCAAAACCAAACCAAACTTTCTGAATCTTGGGTGTTATTCAGAAAATATGGGCATCTAGACTTCTGGCCATTCCTAGGGGCCTGTGAGATGATTTAGAAAAATTCACTTGCAGGTCAAGTGTAAGGGCTAGAAGCATTGGCTCTGCTATTCCAGGAAGTTCTCAGCCCTGACCCTGGGTCCCTGGCCATCTTGGGCAGCCACAGGGCCCATGCAGCCAGACCTGGAAAGCAGTGATGAGGCCTCTCCTGTTCCCTTTAGCCAGATGTTCATCCTGGAAACAGGAGCTTGTGAATAATAACAGTACTAGCACCTTGCATGTGTCCAAGCCTTCATTTTCTTCAACGACCCCTGCACAGGGCATCTCACCAGACCTTCCCAGTCCCCCAGAGGAAAAGGCTGGGGTTCTGACCCTGCTTCCCAGGGGAGCAGGCTGTGGCTCAGAGACTTAAGGCTTAAGTGATCCTCCCAAGGTGACAGAGCCCCAGCAACACTCACATGAGGGAATTGTTCTGTCCAATCTGCTAATACAGCCAGTAAGAACTGTGAGTGTCTGTTACCTGCCAGGTGCTACGCAGGGTGCTGGGGTTTCCGGGAGGACTCCACGTGGTCCCTGGTACTGACGGTGTGGTAGGGGAGGCACAGGTGACAAATGATATACCACAGTGGGAGTTTCCAGGGTGGTGGCAAGTGTTTTATGCCTCAGTGGGGATGCATGTGACATGGATGTTGCATCTGTGAGAACTACCAAATTGTATGCATATGAGTTGTGTGTTTCACTGTAAATTTTGCCTAAAAAATGTGAAGAATGATCATGCTCTGGGAGGACTATGTCTAGCAAAGTCCTGGTGGGCCCAGCTGTCTGGAAGGGGCCCAAGGGCTGACGGGTGGGGCATAGAAAACCCAAACTTGTTCACAGGGTGTGGCTGGGGCTGTAGACCAGTGACCCTTGAGCTTGAGGCCTAGAACACCAGGGAGCACAGAGGGCGTTTCAGAGGAGAGACTTTCAAGCTGAGGCTTCAGGGTGAGCAGAGGGTTGAAGCAGGGTGGGTTGAGAGGGTTGTCCTTAAGAGGAGAGAGGGTTGTCTCTGAGCATGGGGTAGAGCCAGGGTTTGACTTGTTTCAAAGCCATCTGGGGCCCCAGAGAAACTCATGCTGCTAAGCTTTACAAAGCTACTTCCCAAAAGCTCAGGAGGCTGAGGCAGAAGGATCATCGGGAGTTCAAGGCCAGCCTGATCTGCTTAGTGAGACCCTGTTTCAAAAACAAACAAAATACCTGCTTCCCAAGAAATACAAAAGGCCTCTTATCACAGTATCAAGGGGTCTTGGCCTGATGCTGAAGTTCTCAACTGACATCTTGCATGGGTTTCCCTGCACACTTTGTGAACCCAGGTGGAAGTGTGGACCATTTGACACATTTCCTGAAAGCCCAGGCTCTTGGTGCAGACATTGGCTGGCCCAGTTTCTTCTGAATGAAGAGAAGAGTGAGCCTTCAGGGAATTACACACACACACACACACACACACACACACAAACACGTTTTTTAAAACAGGGTCTCACTGTGTAGTTCAGGCTGGCCTCAAACTCTCAGTGATCCTCCTGCCTCAGCCTCCTCAAGTGCTGGGATTACAGATGTTCACCACCATGCCCAGCCAAAATTCCTTTTTTTTGGTACCAGGGATCAAACTCAGGTCCTTGTGCTTGTGAGGCAGGTGGCAGAACCACTGAGCTAAATCCCTAGCCCCAGAATTCCACATTTTATTAAGCAGGAATAATGGTGGGAGATAAGAGGACTGAACATCACAGTTAAAGCACCAAGCACATAGTAGGCACTCAAGGAACAGCAGCTGTGGGTAGCCGGATTGAGGCCCAGGACCCGGGGCTGTGTGGGAAGTGGACACAGCTCGGCTGTGCTTAGTTCTCCAAGAGCCACCCCCATGGCCCCAAGGCAAGGTGTCTTGGTACCCAGACGGCTGCAGGGGACGAGCCCTGCACAAGGCAGATCTGGGCGCCTCAGCGGGCTGGGCGGCTTCTCCGTGTGACTCACCGCGGTGGAGCGGCGGAGACTGTTCGAGAAGGTAGCGTGCGTCCTTCTGGGATTGGCCACGGCGACCCCTTTGGGGGTCGGGGGTTGAGGACGTCGGAGGATTATGGGGTCGGAGGTTTAGCAGGCGCCCCGCAATCTCTTCTCTGTCCACAATGGGGCGGCCGGATCCCTCGGGCGGGCGGAGCCGCTGTGCAGAAATGTTTCTTTGACTCCCCTTGGAACAAACTCACGTAGTTTTGCGCGGGGGAGACCGAAGGAGGAGGGAAACTGTGAGTCTTCTAAAAAGCAAGTTCTGAGGTCTGTTTCCAGATTAATCCACCCGCACCCGCGCTGAGCTCACAGGACCTGCTGTTTGGTTTCGCGCTTTCTCTGCAAACCTCACCCTGACCCGGGGATAGGGCCTCCTTCGCCGAGAGAGGCTCGAGGGTAGGAACAGGGGGTCGCATTCGTCCCTCCCACTGGGTGTGTGGGTGCCGCCCACGTTCTGCAATGGGGACCAGAGTCTAGGAACCGGCTGGGACGGGGTGGGGAGGGATGAGGTGAAGAGAGGAGGGGGACTGGGGTTCAACGTCCTGCCCTCCGGGATAACCCTAGGTGCTGGGGCCATCTACTGGGTCCGCTTAGTAAACTCCCATTGCTGGGATGAATGGGGCACCAAAGGGAAGAGAAAGCAGACTAGATTTATTGAATGTCTATTATTTGCATCACCATAGTTAAGATAATGAATATGTATCTAACATTGCAAAGTTTCCTATTTTTTCTTCTAGTTCTATCTTTTCTTTTATGTATTTTGAAATTCTGTTAAGCACATTAGGAACTTTTAGGGTTGCTATGTTTTCCTGTACATCTTAATTCCTATTAGCTGTTGTTTTTAGAGTGATGGAATCTGTGTTGTTTTAATTTGCATATCTCAAATGGCCGGAGATGTTGAACATTTTTTCATGTATCAATTGGCCAACTGTACTTCTTTTTTTCTGAGAAGTATCTATTCACTTCAGTTGCCTATTTTTTATTTATTTTTTGTTCTTTTTTGGGGGGGGTACCGGGGATCGAACTCGGGACATTGCGCTTGCGAGGCAGGCACCTGAACCACTGAACTAAATCCCCAGCCCTAGTTGCCTATTTTTTAAATTTTTTTTTTTTTTTGGTACCGGGGATCGAACTCGGGTCCTTGCGCTTGCGTAGCAGGCGGCGAAACCACTGAGTTAAATCCCCAGCCCCCAAAATTTTTTTGTTTGTCGTTTGTTTGTTGAGAAGAGGAGTCACTATTTGTTGAGGCTAGCCTTGAATTCATTACATAGCGCTGGCTGGCTGGCCTCGAACTCAGGGCAATCCTTCTGCCTCAGCCTGTGATTACAGGCGTGCTCGACCACGCCCGGCTAAATTAGATGCCTTTTTTATTCTCCCGCTCCAGCTCCGGAGTAGCTGGGAGCAGCTGGACTAAGGGCGGGGCGCGTACCCAGCTCAGAACCGAGCTTGGGGGGAGGGATCAATTGCATTCCGAGCAAGGGGAAAGACCAGTTATTGGGGAGGAGGAAAAAGTGATTGGGAGCCTGACCCCATCCAGGAAATGTGACTAACCAGCACAAGCTGCCGGGGAGCCTGCCGCGGCCGGTGAGTGGGGAACAGGGCTTTCCTGGCCGGTCCCAAACTCGGAGGTGCCTCCCAGCTCCTGCCTCTCCTGAGGCCGCGGTGACAAGGCTGGGACCTGTTGCTTCCCTGTGCGCCCAGAACGAGCTGGACTGGCAGCAACCGCTGCTGCCGGGGCTCCCTGCCGGGTCTCCCTTGGCCTCCTGCCCCCAGCACCGCCCTGCCGGGGTGGGGTAGTGGGTGGGGCAGCTGGGAAGGAAGCTAGAGGGGGTGGGGCCAGCTGGAAAGAAGAAGAGCCCGAGAAGCGCTCAGGAGGAAGAAGTGTGGAGGTGAAAGGGGAGCTGGGCCCAGGGAGGGGGCTGGCGGGGACCCTCTCGGGTGCATGCCCAGGTCAGGAAACACCCGGGACCTGCGTCCCTGTGGCCTAGGCAGGCTCCAGATGCCTTGCGATGCAGCAGCCTTGCCGCTGCCTGGGGCTGGGTGGGTCGGAGTGGGATGCCCCTGAGCTTCGGATCGGGGAACAGAGGCTTGGGGTTCTAGTCTGGCCTAGGGGCAGAGGTGCCAGACCTGCAACTGGGAGTCTTGAAGGCCTTCAGCCTGTCTGGAGGTGAACTCAGACTTGAGGGTTCCTGTGGGGAGACAGGGCTGAAGGGCTTAGGGAGGGGCAAGGCAAGTCTGGCCATGTGAATTGTTTTTGGGTTTTGGGGTGTATTTCTTTTTTTGTTTGTTTGTTTGTTTGTTTCGGTACTGTGGATGGAACTCAGGACCTTGCACTTTCAAGGCAGGCTCAGTGCCACTGAGCTAAATCCCCGGCCCTGTTTTTGGTTTTTTGAGACAGGGTCTCTATGCAGTTCAGGCTGGCCTTGAACTCCCAGTTATCCTCTTGCCTCAGCCTCCGAGAGCAGGGATTAGCGGAGTTGTGGTCATGCTGTGTTCAGTCCTGCCATGAGTTCAAAGGCAGGAGGTGCTTTCACAATCCTAGCTGAGGGGCTGCATGAGAAGAGGTCGAGGCCCCTTGGTGTCGGGACTGCAGTCCCCAGAGTGTCCCAAGCTGGAGGGTCTGCTGTGGTCTCTGTGCTGCTTCACTTCCTGCTTCACTTCCTTCACTTCCTACAGGGACGGGACCATGCAGTGACGGGATCTACCCGTTGGGGACAGGACGGACAGAAGGGCGAGGGTACAGCTGGGACCAGCAAGATTGGGTCACTGTCAGGCATCTTAAAGGTGTGCACAACAGCAACGCCTCTCCCGGTCTCCCAGTCTTTCCTCAAAGACAGCTAAGTCACAGCCATGGACAGTCCGCAGCCCCCTCCCCACAACAGCCTGGTGAGACCCCTCAGCCTGCTCTCTACCTGCCCAGAGCACCTGCTGCAACCCGGGTGGCCTCAGGTCTGTAGGTCCCTGTGCTCTCCTCACTGTCCCCACAGGCCCAGTTAGGGAATGTCTTCTCCAAGCACCTGCAGGGTAGCAGGCACTGAGAAGTTGCAGCTGGACCCAGAGAGGCCGATCCAGTTGGTTCCAGCTCTGAAAGCCTCTGTAGCAGAAGGGAGATGGGCAGGTCTGTGACCCTGGTACTGTGGCAGAGTGGGCGCAAGCACAGTCTTCCTGTGACAGCACTGCAGGAGCCAAAGGGGGCAGGGCTGGGATGCTGCTCAGGGGAGAGAGCCCAGCACGTACTGTACAGTGTCCTGGGTTCAGTCCTCACGGCAGACAGTGTAAAGTGGTGAGCTCCCCGTCATCAGAAGCGTGCAAGAAGAGGATAGTGAGAGGAGCTGTAGAAGAGATTTCTACACTGTGTGTGTGGGGATCTGTGCTGGAAGGTGGTGTGGAGCAGAACTAGATAAGCACTAAGCTGACCTCAGAGGCTGTGACTTTCCCTGCCTAGGGGAAGTTTGTCTGCGGTTTCATGAGTGACAGCGCGCCCCCTTGCTGCACCCTCCGCTAAACCACGGTACGTGGGCTGTTCTTCCTCATCCCTGAGCCTCTTCAGGGCTGAGCCCCCAGCACAGATGGGGACAGAAGGTCGCTTGAGGAATGCACAGGAGGACCAGGTGCCCTTTTCCTGGTGAGAGCTGGGAGCACAGCATGGGGCTGAGGCTTGGCCTGCGAGGGGTGGAGACTGATGGCCGTGAGGCAGGAGGTGGGCACTGAGGAAGCCGAGAGAAAAGTCCACCAGATCAGTCAGAGGGACCCTCTCTAGGGGAACTGGGAACAGGGCTCAAGGGATAGGGGTCTGAGGGGCAGAGGGTGCTCCCCTGACCTGGTGGTTCTCAAACACCCGGACCCAGGCTCCACCTGGGATGAGTTTAGCTGGCCCAGCATGGGCCTCTGGTGATTCCAGCGTACCAAGGGTGAGACCTTGTGCTGGACAGAGTCCACCTGCAGAATCAGCATCACTTTGAACATTTGTAATATGGATGACCTGGGTGTGGTGGCACATGCCTGTGATCCCAGCACTCGGGAGGCCGAGGCAGGAGGATCGATGCAAGTTTGAGGCCAGCCTGGGCTACATAGTGAGATTCTGTCTCAAAAACAAAACAAAATATATGGATGCCCAGTCCCACTTCTGACCTCTGGAATCAGAATCTCCAGGCCTGGGGCGTAGGCAACTGTAAGGAAAAACTTACTGAGGGGTACTTGTTATAGCAAGATGAGGGGGACTTTATCAGGACCATCACCATAGGTATAGGGACCACAGCAACAGGGAGGGATTGAGTCCAACTGCAAGTATGGCTTGGACCAGTGGGAATTTATAGCCCAGGAGCACAGTGAGGGTTGGGGAAGGAAAAGCACTGAAAGAAAACATAAGGTGGAAGGAAGATTCTGTTTAAATAGACCTAATGGGATTCTTTTTTGGAGGGTGGGGTTGAGATAGGATCTGCCATGTAGTTCAGTCTGGCCTTGACCTATGTAGCCCAGGCTGGCCTCAAACTCATGGTGCTCCTCCTGCCTCAGCCTCCCAAGTGCTGGGATCACAGGCGTGCACCATCAAACCCAGCGAGCGTGTATATTTTATATAGTCCTGAGGTAATGGTAACAGGCAGCCAGGGTAAGGAAGGGGCAGCCAGCCAAGGAATCCTTTGTGTGGACCCTGTAGTGACTGGGGGAAGGGGTATTACAGTGTCCACATGGGGGCTCCCTGAATTTGAGTCATAGCTCAAGTTCTCATTTCAGTAACAGAAAGAAAACTGGTAAAGCTGGCAGTTTCCTTGCTCCATCTCCTCCCTGGGCTGTGCCCACTGGCTTGGGTTGGAGTAGCTGGCTCACCACAGCTGATTTGAGTCACAGGACGGGATGTGGGCACAGCATGTGACCCTGTGGGACCGGAAGTGCCAGTTCCCTCCCACACTCCCCCTGCCTCCTTGCCGAGGAAGTGCAATGCCAAGACAGCTTTCCTATCTCTCATGCCTTTGCGCTCACTGCTCCTGCCTCCGCTCTGTTTTCTACTCAGGCTTTACTGTTTCTTTTCCCTCTATTTGCAGTGCTGGGTCAGACTTACCACAGCCAGCTCTCAAAGCCACTCTCAGGAGAGTACAAACTTAGAAAATAAAACTAAGAAACCTGGAAAAAAAAAAGCCATCCTTCAAAGTTCACTCTTCTTCACCCCAGCCTTCAGGAACCTCCTAATGATGCCTCTTTACAATCTCTCCCTCGGTTTCCCAAGCCCTAACCCTGCACCATAGCTGGGTGGATCCACAGTGTCCCTTGTATTAAGTGCCTGCTGGTGTGAGCTCTGGATTTTAAGACCCTTTAAAGAAACTAGGCTGGGATGAGAACATATCAAAGGTGGCAAGTGAAGCTGTACTGACTTCATTTTCTGAATCTTCTTTTTTTCTTCTTTCTTTTTTGATATAGTGTCTTGCTGTATCACTCAGGTTGACCTTGAATTTGCTATGTAGCACAGGCTGGCATCAACCTCACAATCCTCCTGCCTCAGCCTCTGGAATACCTGGCTTATAGGCATGAGCCACTGTACTTGGCCATTTCCTGATTTTTTTTTTTTTGGTATGGGGGATCCAACTTGGGTTCTTGCATTTGCGAGGCAGGCAGCAGAACCACTGAGCTAAATCTCCAGCCCCGATTTCCTAACTTTTTAAGAAGTTAATGCATTTTTGGGGGGGGGGCCTACTGGGATGGAACTCGGGTCCTTGTGCTTGCGCAGCAGGCAGCAAAACCACTGAGCTAAATCCCCGGCCCCTAATGCATTTTGTTTAAGTGTTTGTTGTCTTAGTTACTTTCTTGTTGCTGGGACAAAATACTTGACATCCACGAGTTAGAGGAGGAAAGGTTTATTTTGGCTCACAGTTTGTAGAGGTTTCATTGTAATGGGCTGGCCCCAAGGCAGGGTGGCATGATGGAAGGGCATGGCAGAGGAGACATAGTCCATGGCCTGCCAGGCAGGAAGCAGTGAGCCTTCCTTTTTTCCCTTTTTATTCCATCCAGGCTGCAAGCCAGTTAGTTAGTGCCACCCACGCCAAGGGTGGGGCTTCCCTCTTCAGTAAATCCATCAGTCACACCCAGGACTATGCTAAAACAAACAGTGGGCTAATCTATTATCATGCGTCTGTGATCCAGTCATTCCCAAAATCCCACCTATGAGCACATGAGGCTTTGAGGAAACATCTAGATACAACCCATAACATTTGTCTTTAGCATTCTCCCCCACTCCAATACCTCTTGTCCCAAAACAAGCATCCCCATTGACCTACAGAATAAAGATGGCTTTCCTCACCCACACTGAGGAGAGCTGGGCACACAGAACTGATAGTTGATGCCTGGGAATGGTTGAGTTTCCCCAGGAAGAGAGTTTAGGATTGGAGCAGCTGTTCATGATTTTTTTTTTTTTTTGTACTAGGGATCGAACTCGGGTCCTTTCACTTGTGCAGCAGGCAGCGAAACCACTGAGCTAAATCCCCGGTTGGAGCAGCTGTTAAGTCTAATGTTAGCTGCAGGCTTTAAAATTTTTCTTTTTGGTATATGCCTTTATTGGGTTAAGGAAGTTTCCTTATATTCCTAGTTTGCTAAAAGATTTTTTAAAAATCAGGAATGGATGTAGACTTTTGCTAAATGATTTTTCTGTATCTAATTAGATGATCTCTCTCTTTCACACACACACACACACATACTTTCTAACAGGATAGTTTATATGGGTTGAGTTTCAAATGTTAAACCAACCTTGCATTCCTGGGATAAACCTTGTTTCATCATCATGTTACCTTTAAAAAATATTATTGAATTCCATTCACTAGAATTTTGTGGAATTTTTGTTTCTGTTGTCGTTTCTATGTTTGTGAGAGATATTGGTCTGTAATTTTCTTATATTTATCTGGTTTGTTATCAGGATAATGCAGCATAGGACAAATTTTCTACATTCTGAACACGTTTGTATAGAATTGGTGTCATATCTTCTTTAAATATTTTTGGTGGAATTTACCCATGAAGTCAGATAAGCTTGGACTTTGTGGGGAGTTGTCAGATTCAAACTGGGGATGATAGGATAATCTCAGCACTTGGGAAGCTGAGCCAGGAAGATCACTATGAGTGTGAGGCCAACCTGAGCTACATGGTAAGACCCTGTCTTTAAAAACAAACAAAAAATTGCAAATTTAATTGCTTCAAGAGATAGTAGGACTATTCAGGTGTAGGAGTGAGAGGAATCTTCTCCGTAAGGTTTGATATTTGATTCTATAAACTAAACAGACTGTAGACAGGTTAGCAGAAGGAAAGGCATATACAGTTACTATGCACAAGTGCATGGGAGTCAGCAAGATGGGAAAGGTTTAAAGCATTCTGCCCTAGGAAAAGGAGAAAGTGTTGGGCTCTGGGGGAGGTGGCCAGAGTTCTGGGAGGCAAGGGGAAGAAGCACATGAAGAAGCCATGCCAGTGTGGCTGTGTGTGTGGTTGTGTAAACGAGACCTCTTAGGTAACAGAGGCAGAGGAGTAAGATGGCTGCTGTGGCCCAGCCTCTCTTACCTAATCCTCAGTTCTGGGGGACATGGGGAGGGGCTGTAAGGACTGCATTCCTACTGGCATCAGACAAGGAATCTTCACAGAACAACCCTGGCCCCTCCTGGCACCTGGGGAAAGGGGGATGGGGTGAGTGGTGGGAGAAGGTCAGAGGTTTCTTTAAAGTCAGAATCCTAAACTGGCATACTTTGGGTGTTACTTTCTGAGCTCCAACAAAGTAATCCATTTCTTCCTGCTCCATTCCCCTTCCTCTTCCTTCTCCACCTCAGGAATGCTAAGACAGTGTTATCTATATTCCCAGCCCTTTTTATTTTTTTGTTTGTTTGTTTGTGTCAGTACTGGTGATTGAACCCAGGGCCTTTACACTGAGCTGCATCTGCACTCCCCCCTTTTTATTATTTATTTATTTATTTTCAGTGCTGGGGATTGAACTCAGGACCTTGCCTTGCAAGGCAGGTGTGGTGCCACAGAGCTAAATCCCCAGCCCATAGTTTAATTTTTTAATTTTGAGACAGAATCTCACTAAATTGCCCAGCCTTAGCTTGAACTTTTCACCTCTGCCTCAGCCACCCAGAATTCTGGGATTAAAAATGTGCACCGCCACTCTTGGGTTGTTTTTTATTCTAGTATCTGTAGATTCTGTAGTGATGTCACCTCTCTCATTTCTTTATTGAGAGTTTGTATCTTTTTTTTTCCTATTCAGTTTGTCTAAATGTTTTGTCATTTTTATTGATTGATTAGTTTCAGTTGGAGGCCAGCCTGGACTACATAGTGAGTTCAAGGTCAGCCTGAACTTCAGCAGCGAGACCCGGTCTCAGAAAAAAAAACAAACCCCAAATCTAAAAATAAGTTTTGTCAATTTTTCACTATCATTTTTATCTATTGCTTTGTTTATTAATTGCTAATTTTATTTTATTTTTGAAATCATTTCTTTAATTATTTGGGGGTTTTGCTTTTTCTTCTTTTTTTACAATGGAAGCTTAAGTCATTAATTTTTTTTTTTTTTAATTTTTTGTTTTGTTGTTTTTTGAGAGATTCTTGCTATGTAGCCCATGCTGGCCTCAAATTTAAGAGCAATCCTCCTGCCTCAGCCTTTTGAGTATGGGATCAAAGGCATGTGCCACCAAGCCTAGTTCAAGTTATGGATTTTAGACTTCTGATATAAGCAGGTATGTATTGCTTAGAGAGCTGTCTCCAGCCTTGTGCAATACACAGGGTTAGGAGTGCAAAGCGAAAGATGGGTGTGGGCGACAGGTTATGGCTCAGGGGGCAGAGACCTGGTCTCCCTGAGCCACTCACTAGCTGTGGAAGCTTGGACTCAGGCTGTCTCAGCCTTATTGTCTTTGCTTGGGTCCTTGACGATGACGTAGTTGATGCGTATGAAGGTTGCTGGCCACCTGGCAGGGCCATCCCAGGCCCACGTGAGAGGTGGCTGTCATGGCACTGGAGTGATGACGGCTTCTGTCTTGCAGATCTGGAGGCAGCATGTACACACCCATCCCCCACAGGTAGGCAGTGCCTGCCCCATTCCCTTCCCGCTCATTTCCCATGTGCCTGAGCCTGAGCACCAGCCCACCGCTCTCCTCTCCCATAGCGGCTCCCCATTCCCAGCCTCCGTGCAGGCTCCCGGCCTGCACATATGGCGGGTGGAGAAGCTGAAGCCGGTGCCCGTGGGCCCTGAGAACCAGGGGATTTTCTTTTCTGGGGACTCCTACCTGGTGCTGCACAACGGCCCGGAAGAGCTGTCGCACCTGCACCTGTGGATAGGTAAGGGGCAGGGAGTGGGAAGGGCACGGGCCTAGGCAGAGTGAGGCTGGCCCAGGTGTCAGGGGTCTTGCCTGCCACCCCCACCTGTCACAGGCCAGCAGTCGTCCCGCGATGAGCAGGGGGCCTGCGCCGTGCTGGCCGTGCACCTCAACACGCTGCTTGGAGAACGGCCTGTGCAGCACCGCGAGGTGCAGGGCAACGAGTCCGACCTCTTCATGAGCTACTTCCCGAGAGGCCTCAAGTACCAGGTCAGAGCCGCCCCAGGCACCCTCCCTGCAGAGTTCCAGGGTGCACTTGGATCCGGGGCCCCCTTTCTGTGGTCTCCCGGTGGGATGGGGTGCGACCCCACTCAGGCCGGCCTTCTGGCTGCAGGAGGGTGGCGTGGAGTCGGCGTTTCACAAGACCTCGAGGGGGACAGCCCCAGCTGCCATCAAGAAACTCTACCAAGTGAAGGGGAAGAAGAACATCCGGGCCACTGAGCGGGCGCTGAGCTGGGACAGCTTCAACACCGGGGACTGCTTCATCCTGGACCTGGGCCAGGTGGGTCGGCAAGGCATTGTGCAAAAGAGGCCTGGCCAGAAGCCCAAGGAAGGGCAGGGGCTTGGAGGTTGGAGCCCATCCCATGGCTACTGCTTCAGTCGTAAGAAAACACACTGTGCAGCTAGACCTCGGTTTTCTGTGGGGATTGTTTCCTGAGGCCCCACACATTCTCAAGACTGCCACATGAAATGGCGTCTTCACATGTAAACTGGGCTTTTTTTTTTTCTGGTATTGAGGATCGAGCCCAGGGCCTTCATGCTGAGCTACGTCCTAGCCCTCTTTTCATTTTTTATTTTCAGGTAGGCTCTTGTTAAGTCACTGAGTTGTCCAGGCTGTGCTTGAACTCACCCTCCTTCAGCCCTAGCCTCCTAGATTGCTGGGATCATAGGTATGCACCACCATGTCTGGCCATCCCCACCCAGGCCTTTTTCAAATTTTAAATTTTGAGACAAGTTCTCACTAAATCACAAACTTGCCCACAGTGCTGGGATTACAGACATGTTTCCCATATGAGTCACCTCTAGATGACTCATAACACCTACAACAAAATAAATGCTGTGTGAATAGTTGCCCTGTGTTGCTTAGGGAATAATGACAAGAAAAAAGTCTGTACATGTTTAGTAGAGAGAGATACAGTTTTTTCTGATTTTTTTTTTTTTTTTTTTTTGGGGATTGAACTCGGGTCCTTGTGCTTACGAGGCAGGTGGAGGAACCATTGAGCTAAATCCCCAGCCCAAGATCCAGTTTTTTTTTTTTTTTATTATTAATCTTGTCAACCAAACTGATAAAGT